CCCTTTTCCGGCTCAAGACCATGGCCTCGGATTTGGAGGCACTGAGCCTCATCCCGGCCGCTTAGCACTCGGCCATGAATCGCTCCAGCGAGAGCTGCAGATCTCGTTCCGATGAAGCCAACAGGACCACATCATCCGCAAAAAGCAGAGATGTGATCCCAAGGCCACCAAAACGGATCCCCTCAACACCTCGGCTGCGCCTAAAATTCTGTCCATGAAAGTAATGAACAGAATCGGTGACAAAGGGCAGCCTTGGTGGAGTCCAACTCTCACTGGAAACGAGCCCGACTTACTGCCGGCAATGCGAACCAGACTCTGACACCGGTCGTACAAGGACCTGACAGCCCGTATCAAAGGGCCCGGTACCCCATACTCCCGGAGAACCCCCMACAAGGCCCCACTTGGGACACGGTCGAATGCCTTCTCCAAGTCCACAAAACACATGTAGACCGGTTGGGCGAACTCCCATGCACCCTCCAGGACCCTGCTGAGGGTGTAGATCTGGTCCAGTGTTCCACTGGGACATATAACAACTGTATAACTAAATTACAACTATACCTAAATAATTACCATGTTATTACATTTATGTTTTTTTTCAAGTACAAAACGCATGTACACTTGAGTGCACAGATAATTATTTCTTTAAAAAATAAAGATAGAAAAAAAATATTTCAAACCTTGTTTTACATCCCCAAGGATGTACAAAAACACTTAGTGACAAAATCCTGACTGAGTTTATTCATGCATGAGAGGGTTAATATTTAAACATTTCCACTATTATCTGGTTTGATTATAAATTTCATATTTGCCTTTTTTGGGAAGATAGCTTGTTTTTTTTAAAGGGGGATAATTATTTGGCTGTAAATACATTATCTCACGTGAAGTTCTAATTTATAGTGCGACTAAGCATCATATGGTGCAATCATTGTATGGTGGTTTTTTAATGAGATTTATGTTCTTGAAGGGCAATTTTTGTGCTTTTATATTTGAATTTAATACTGAAATGCAAAAACGTACTTTGCAATATTATTTAGTATTTTTTGAACAACATCATAATAAAAATACAACGGAGCATGTACTGTAATTTCACTGGGGTAGTTACAGTAGAGGAGAGTGGAGTTAGCTGTGCCTCTTTTTACTTAAAGTGACTTTAAAGCATGACCATGACAGTAATATTTAAAACTAAACTATGTACATATGTTTCAGGATGTGGTGGATCCCTTTGGATATATAGTTTTCAACAAAAAGTTGTCTCATGGCACAACTTGCACCTG